ACGTTAATAATTCCTAATCTCTACCTTTAATCCTAACTTCTTGCCTGACTTCCATATCCTTATTCCCAAATTTATTGGAAACCTATTGCTTCTCATATATACTGAAACTCAGTTAATGGTGTCACTGTACAAATGATTTCCCCATATCAGAAACTTTAAAGTTATAGAACTGCCCTTAACGCTTCCCTAACCTTCATATCTCATCCGTCACAAAGATAGGATACCTCAAATCTGTCCCTTCCTCGCTATTCTCAATTTCTCCCTTTAGCTTAGAACCTGAATTTCTCTTCTAGGAGGGGACAGTAACATCCTCTTTCTTCTGCTCCTATATGCAGTGAGCGGTGACAGTACAATCTGCTATGTTGCAAACATTACAGTAAATCTTGGTTGCCCAACTAGGGTGGTGTGGGTGGTGTGGCAGTGAGAATCATAAGATTGGACCAAAAATAACATAGGCAGAGGCTATTTTCTGGTGTGAAAAATCACATACATTTCATGGATGAAAAGGTGACTTATTACTAAGCTAGTCATATGTTTAGGCTAAAAGAAAAATTTTTAAATGCAAATCAAATGATACTGATGGCTCTTTTCAAAGACCCTTTAGACAATCCTTTATTTTGGTCCTGAAGCTACTGCAATAAATCCTAGTATCAAGTGATTGTCCCTTACCCTGATCTTTAGTACAAAGATGTCCCAGGAAATAAACATTTCATTTATTTATTATTGCCTGATACTTCTTACCCCTAATCTTCAAGAAAGTGTATTTGCATTTCAAATTGTTTTTCATGCGTTCATTAATATAAAGTAGTTCAGATTTTGGTTATTCTTTTTCCCATTTTTAAGTAAAACAAAATGTTTTCAATTGATTCAAAAGGTCTTGGAGTATTTAACAGATTTCCATAACTGTATTAAATGAAATTTCATGCCATTTCTTATGTCTATATTATATAACTGTCTCCTATTCATCCATGCCTTCCCACAGATCCCTATACCTAGAATGCCCAGCCTCTTGTTTGACTCCAAATTCACTTTTTTTTTTTTTTT